TGCTCATTACAGATGTTTATGAAAAGGTAATCTTAAACAGGGTCAAATTATTTAATTATGTTTCTGCTTCGTATGTCCGATGTAAGGCTGATGAGCAGAGAATTAATTTGTGACAGAAAAAAAAACCAGGCCAACCTATCCCAACTGAAAATAATAGTAAATGCCTTTAGAAATTCCTAACTAAAAGGCAAGTGTTGTACACTTGCTATTATTCTCTTTTTTACAAGACCAAGTTCCACTCGGAAGGTCCAAAAACCATGAAAATTTTGTTCAGTCATCTATTCTTGTTCAAACTATACATTTATATTCATGGTTCCTCCTATGGCTCAGACAATACAGTCTTAAACAAAAATGAAGATGCACCTTATTCAGCCTTCCGTTCCCCAAATCACAGCAGTCAATAAGCTGACTAGATAACGGAGCACGACCGAACGTATGCCTGGACCAGGCACAGCACGCATCCTCCTGAGCAGTGAGGAGAACTGGACAGAACCCCATTCTGCAACTCATCTTCTGGTGGGCTACCGCTTCAGGGTCAGGGCAGCGACACGCTGCTCCTTGCTACATAACAATATAATGTGGTACTACCCCTTTAGGTCAAAACGAGCTAACACTTGTCCAAAACCCCGTATTTCTGGACAAGAAAATACCCTGAGAGAGCACCTTCCGAAATGAACTAAGGAACAGAGCTCTCTCTCAGGAAAACTGTTCAAAGCAGTATTTGACCCAAGCTTCCAGATTCTCGGGGATCCACAACTGCTTCTGAGGGGCCTGGAGAGGCAACTGTGGAAAGAAAGCCTACTGGCCTGAATTCAAGTCTGTTTACGCACACCATGTAAGAGTTCCCACCAGTACAGGAAATTTTTACAGGATCCAGAAATCCGATTTGAAAACCACAGATTTAAAACATATCCTGCAGTAAACAAGAGTTTTACTGTTAAATATACTCAGGAAGTTTCTCAAGATCTTTTTTCCTCAGGCTGTTCACCTTCTTTGGACACAGATTTCTGGCCACTCTGCTTGCCAAAAGGAAAATATTTTGATACAGTCCACATCATCATTACAAGACGCAGCTGATAGATACTCGTTGTGGCCAGTAACTATGGGATACAACCTACTTACACTGGATAGTCCCCTCTCACCCAGTACACTCTGCTCACAAGACAAGGATAAAGAAAACATCCTACGTAAGGAAAGTTGAAAGACAGCGTAATGAGGAAACATGGTAACACTTACGGTCAAGTCCGTTGACGTATCTCATTGTAATTTCACAGTGCCCCCAAACTGCACTGACTATGGGGTAAAGTTTTTTCCCTTTTAGTCCTCTGAAGGCCACTCCAAGATACTGTCCATCTACCATGAAGCTAAGCGTCCCTTCATCCATATCCAAAACCACCAGCAAGGAGTCTGGGAGTACAAAAGACTCATCCGGTTCCAAAAAGACAGGATACGTGACCCCAGGCTGGTTTTTACAGTTGTGGTAGAGTTTGTTGCGTCCCAGATCCCAGCCCCACGATTCGCTATTGCTACCAACTAGTGACGTGTATCCCACCGAGTGCAGCGGAGCTTCGGCTGTGGAGACGCCCACCACAGCGTGAGTTCCCCGTTGCCTCGTGGGCCAGTGGATTTGCCAGACGTGCAGGCCTCTCGTGTAGCCAACTTTGCCCCGAATGCAGTCTGTACTTTGGGCAACCGGGTGTCTATGAAAAGTCAGTTTATCATCTTCTTTTACAAATATATTTAAGGAGCGATCTTCATTGTTCCAAGCATGTTTATACTGGACCTCCAGCTTGGCGGGGGGCATATCCAACAGCATGTCCAGACGCACTGGCTTGCAAAAATCCGGGCCTCTCAGCTCTCGTTTAACAGGTCTATAAGGGGGCTCCCTCACATCCACAGACTTTATGCTCCCTGAGATTTTCTGGCCCATTGCTTGGCTGCAGATTTACAAAGGAGAAAGAAAAGTTGACTTTGGCCCGGTGTTACCTCATGAAAGCACTTTTACACTGAGCCAGTGACCTGACAAGCTGACTGGATTTACTTCTCCTGTTTGGAGCTTTTTAGCAGCAAAGTTTGCAGAGAAAAAACGCTCCTGAAAGAAAGCAGAAAGTTTCCAGTTAGTTTAAGAAACCAAACAGAAAACTCACAGCATATTTCTAAAGAGCGTCTCCTCAACCCTAGTAGTGATTTTAAACACCAAAGCTGACAATTCCTCACTTTTTGTTCAGCGCTGTACAGCGCTAACCAGCCTGCCAGCAGGACGCTGAGCCCACCAGCGCGGAGCGCAGACAGCCATTTCCTCCAATTCATAATAGGATGCAGACGTTCCCCACCTTCTGCCCTTCCACCCATTTTGTCTGGCCAAGCTCGCAGCAGTCCTGAAGGAGGAGTGCACCCTTCCCCAGCAACAGCGATAAACTTTCTGTTCAGCCGTAGCTTCACTTTCACTTACGCTTTTGTTTCAGAGTCTTAGAAATGTGCTCTGTGTCAGAATCTTCCTTTATTTCTAGCTGGCAGCACAGGGCTTCAGCTTCTGTGCCACTGTTAAAACAAGTGTGGCCAATGCCAAATGGCTGCAAATTTTAAAGGTTTGCTTTTAACATACATTTTAACTTAAATAATAATTCAAAAAATTCATGAAGCGTTACATTTTTATAAAGGAGATAGAAAAAAGGGAATGAGGGAAGAAGAGGCATGGAAAGACAAATGAAGAATGGTAATTTCAGTTCTTCAACAGACTTTTCTAATGGGCATCTACTACAACTGCGTACATTCTTCGTGCTGCAGGACAGCAGGCTAATGTACGTTTGCTATACTGCAGTATTAAGCTGATGAGGACTGGAACATGGTAAGACACACTACTGGGAATACATCATTTTGAAACGTATTATTTCTGCTTCCATAGACAAACATTTAACTGGAACTGGTCAAAAGCACCCAGGAAAGATGTTTCTGAAGCTGTGAGAACCATGCATTTAATTACTGACAGAGTGATGAAGTGTTTGAAGCAGCAGCAAACACCACCAGATTCTCAAAAGCAGGGAGTTTAGGTGCCAGCTGGATTTCATAAAGCACAAAAACACCAGATATGGGCATAAATGTCTTGCAAAAAAATGCCTTGCAAGACTTTACTTGGTAAGTCAACAGTCCATGCTCTGCCTTTTAAAGAGCTTCTACCCCAAGTACACTGTCTCACTGAAAAGATCATTTCTGAAAGAAGAGGAGTAAGAAACACACTCTCAGTGGGAGGAGCTAAAAAGAGAAGACTATGAAAAGAACACCCGTAAAATTTACCATCCAGCCAGACACGCTTTAGAAGTAAATTTAAGTCTTTACATGATTTACAATGGCCAACACAACATGAAGTGTTTTCTGCATGCATTAAGTACAGAATGGGAACAATGCCTACATTACGGGAACATTTTATTCAAATAAGAGTAAAAAATTGGTTTTCAAATACACGTGACAGTTAAGTTACTGCATAAAGATGTTATCCTCTGGTGGCTGGTCTCACGTGTATATGAACATACCTGTGCAAAAAAACAACCTTTCTGCATCTAATTTTAATCTTTAAAATCTAAATTAAACACAAGCCCCTCGTCTCATGCTCATCTAGAACTATTCACAAGAGCTTCCCACATGAGATAAGCTTGAACGATCTCTCTTCTTTCCAAACCATGCAAAACAAATTTGAAATTTTAAACAGTAATCATATCTAACTTGAGGCTTGCCATTTCCACTGCTGCAGAAGCATTTGTAGGTTGTTTCAAAGGTGCAATGGAAAATTTGGGCCGCTGAACCAAGTCCAATACTTTATTCCATACTAATAATCCTGGGAGGAAATGAATACTGCCACCACTATATATACAGGAAAGCAACAGGGAGTAAATGACACCAGGTCAGCAAGCTTTCCTAGGAGGACACATGCTCAGCAATTGGGTAGTTTCTTTTTAAAAGGTGCTTGTTTATTTGACCTTGAAAGAAGGATACGAAGAGGGAAATGCCAGATGTTCAAACAGAACTCCAACAATTTCTGTATGAGATTTCACTCTACATTCCTTCAAAAAAATCTCCTCTTTAAAGCACAAGACGACTGCCGTATCCTTGTCAGGGCGCTGAGGGGAGGTGGCCGGGGAAGTCCTCAGCGCATCCTCAAGTATCACTTCCTGATCACATGAGAAACTAAACTTGGCACAGAGGTTCAGCTGGCAAATCACCAAGAGATTATAAACAAAGTGACTCACTTGGCAAGCCAAACAGCCATTCCTCCTCATGTGCCTCTAACTGTAACAGAAACAGGCTGCTAATAGATGGCCTGTTAATTCAGGGGAGTAAATGCAATATTATACGCACCTTGAGAGATGCACAACTGTGCCTCTACTCTGAGATGTGCTTAGTACGTACTCCAGTTTGAGACTATCTTAAAGCGTTAGGCCACAGAGATAAAAGTCCTTCTTCACAGATGAACTGCCACATAATTTAATTATATATTGCAACATTTTGGCAAGTAGCTTTTTGACACAGGACTAAATAGCAACATTGAATGTTACAGTTCCTGCAGCAGTTCCGAAGCAGCGGTACAGCTCAGAAGCAACCCTTCCTCACATACTTTCTCCTACCTACTGTAACACACAAGACCCTCTTGCATCCTAGTTCTGTGTAGCTGGTAGGTGTTCTCAGCTTCTGCTAGAAGGCCAACTGTAGCCACACTACTCCTATTCAAGTATCAGCAGACTTGAACAATTAAATTTTTTAAAAAATTTATCATTTGTATTAGTAAAGCAATAAAGGTGTAGTCCCATGCTAGCTGTGATCTAACAATTCTGACTGCTGGTATTTAGTAGTAGCTGACATGAAAACTTTATATGAGAAGGCAGTGGGGGGTTGCAAAGCATCCCTCCTGCTCACAACCCATGCAGCATTAACATCCACAGAGAGTGACTCATGCAGAAAGTCCTCCAGGCAGCTGGAGCGACCACAGCGGTCCCACTGGTTGCTTGTGGGAGCCACCTGTCTCAAAGCTAAGAGAATTTCTCTTTCCTTGTCTGTCTCTTGCCCATTTACACCAAGCAGATGGCAGAGACCTACAATGAAGCACGGAACAGGAGCAGGGGCATCACCCGGTCCTTCATCCTGCCAGCAGCCGCTGTTGAAGGAGAACAGGGCCCAGCCCATCTCAGCTGACAAACGTCCCCTCCCTGCTTCCACAGGGACCATCGCACTTCCAATGCAGAAGCCTCAGAAGTGGCACAGTCGCACCATCGCTGTCAGGATCTGCAGGCAGCTTCTCCCCGCGGAGCTACACAATTACTACACAGCAGCAGCTGTAGGGGAAGCAGAGCACAACATTCAGAGGGGAAGTGGAGTGACTATCAACTCATCTGGCAAAGGTGCTCCTCCAAACTGGCTTCCTGTCTGCAGGACTGATGGCTACACCACACAGGATCAGTAAAAGCTGTGAGCTGGCCCGAAAGGACGGAAGATTATTTCTTTCAGATTCCATACTATTCAATCCGTTTACAGAAATATTTGATTCACCATCTCCTGAATTAATAAAAACTTGCCAAAGCACAGCACCATCATTCAACTCCTGCGACTTTTTGTAATCTTATACTACTTGGAGAAACTCAGATTTCCTTGCCTGTAACTTCACTAGAGATAGAAATATTATGAAATAACAAGAAAATGCACTTTCATGGTATAGTTTTTTCTTTGAAGGTTTTCTCAAAGCTTTGCTCTTCCAGTAATTTCAAACCACTACAAAAGTTAGGCAGTAAAATATTTCAATCTGCCTTAATATGTATTGCCTCTCCATTATACCTGTACCATGACTACAACTGAAACACCAAATTTCATCAGTTATCCCTGCAATGAAAGATATTTTGCGGAAAATAAAGTAGTATTTTCATGGGAAGAGAAGAACCACCACATCAATACATTCTTTCAGCAACTGGAAATCCCTGGTTGAGAAGACTGCTGGTTTCTGTAACCTACATTATTTCTGTCTCACAGTTTCACATTCATGCCACACCTCATCAGGATAAGATGATCAGATTAAGCATACTGTACAAGAACAAGCCAACTCCAAGCAGGAAAAGTGTGTCAGCATTGTTTAGCAGTGTCCTCATGCAGACTACCAAAATATTTAGGGAAATTATTCACATTAAGAACACAGATTGTACTTACCAGAGACATTCATTCACTGTAATGAAATACGGTGCATTTTTTAACAATTCAGTATATTAGCATCAATTGAACAGAACTGCTAATAAAAGAAACATGCTTTTTGCAAAGTCATTTTTCAGCATTGAGGTATATTTCCCTCTGGATTATCACAAAGTAGACGTGCAGAAAGCTTGAAAAACATGCATGTGAAATGACAGCACGGAAACGCAATTCAAAACTACAGTAGGAATGTACTAAGGCTTAGGTTAATTCTGCTAACTTGACACTTACCAGAGAAGTGAGAAGTTCAGTGAGTTCCAACTAAGGATGCTGATAAGTGAAGCTGTCTACCAGAGCAACCAGGGAAGGCGATCCCTCTATCTACCAGCATTTCACATTTCTGCACAGCAGTTCCTTTCCTTTTTTTTTGCTATTGACCCTCGTTGGGTTTTTAACCTTCCTGCAGCCAGACCTCTTTGCCACCTCCTCTGCCAGCCTGGGCATTTGAGTACTCTGAATCTAACCGTGATCCTAATGTCTCCACCACAGGAGGAACAGGAAGAAATCAACACCAGCTCTGCTGTGCTGGGCAAACTGACGACGAAGGGTCTGTAAGCTCAAGAGTAAGTTTTACCTCCACCCTAGCACTGTAAAGGCACGAGGCTCAGTGTCTGTCAACTATGTTCCCAGTGTGCAAACAGCTACAAAACCACGACAACGCTGTTTGGAGGATGACAATGAATTCAGTATATTTTTGAGACCCTG